GGGGGTGCCTCAGGGTGGGGAGCTGCCGCAGGGAGGGCGCCTCAGGGCGGAGCGGGGGAGCTGCCGTGGGGGTGGGGGCGTCTCAGGGTGGGGGCTCGGGGACAGGGGGGGACGCCTAGGGCGCGAAACATCCTTACACCGGCCCTGCTAGCATCTCATCCTATGCCATGCAGCTTGCTAACAATTCGCTTCCTTTGCTCCTCTTCCCCCATCATTCTCACATATATTTTTCTCTCACATTTTTCAATATTCACTGATGCCTTTTTTGTCACCTAAAACTGCCATTGACTTTCCATTGCAATACAGATATTCGAACCAAATGTAGCTGTTGTATGTCACTCCTCCAATTTCTGTTACATTAGCCTGTTCATTTTTTTGCTTCACTGAGAGTAAGAAGTGTGCAAGAAACCCAGGATCAAACTGGTAAAGTAGCACAATAAGCTTCAAACACATTTGAAAGTTCATCGCAATAAGTCAATGAGCCTGAAGCTCACTTAGTGTTTGCAAACGTTTCAGTATTCCATCCAACTTCAGAATGAGCTGCTGAAGGTAAAATATTCCTAGCATTGAAACTATGGCTTATTCAGTGGGACATCCCTTGACTCATGGACGAGCACCAACTGCTGCACCACTGTTTATAATCCTCCATTGTCTTTTCTTTGTTTGGAAAATATTGTCCTGATCTTGTCTTATATTAATATCATAATGAACTGCTCAGTCCAGGTGACAGAACACTGTTAAAAACAACACTTACAATGCTCTACATCTTCAAAGTGTCATACAAACACAAAATAATTAGTCTAATTAGGTAACTAATCTAATTAAACGAACAGATACAATGAACCCAGAGCCAGACATGAACTGTTAAACTCTGCTTCTCCTGTATGATGAACAAATGGATACAAGGACAAATTTTCCATCAGCTTCCTCAATTATAGCTATCAGTTTGTGAATGCATCTGTCTATAAGCACACAACCTCCATAATCCTATCTTCTATAACAGGCTGTGGAGTCGCAGCAGTAGCCTTCGGGCTGGCTGTGGCCCCTACATGAGCACATGCTAATGGCCAGTGGATTCATGTAGACGACCCATCAGCCTCGTCCTACTCCATGTTTGGCAAAAGGAGCCCAAAAAGGAGGAGTCAGGGCCCAATGATATCTCGGGGGGGGGAGGAGTGCACCCACATACCGCAAGCTGCATCACCCCATCCCTTGGGTAATAGAAGTGCATCATTTCTACCGCAGCCAGTGCCCTCCACAGCCACAGCAGAAGGGGCAGGATTGGATTCACACTCTAGTATGTGGAAATGTGGGGTCTGCACATGCAAACTGGACAGTTTTAAGTGCACAATTAAGGAAGCCCACTGAAAAAGTGCCCATTAATGTCAAACTCTACTTTATCAGCAATAATTTCAATAAGCAATCAATGTGATCAAATACCTCCTCTTTGAGACAATTCAGCCTTCCACACTCTTTTTAAAAAATTCCTCGTTAAGCATCTTGGTTATGCAGACTCAGCAATTATTACACGTTAGCTGGCAATGAATCCTGTTGGACGCAAGTAACAGATTAATTCAGGACCACTGCGGATATGTGAACCTGATACAGAACCAATGTTGGCTACAATAGAAGAAAAAAAAATGCTGAACCTAAATTAAGAGAAAACAATCTTTGAATGGTTGAAGAAAAGTTTATCTTGCTAAGTATTAAATGTTCAGATTAATCAACCTGATTATTAATCTGTTGGTAAAAATCCTTGTTGATTGGCAAAAGCTGTTTTTTAACAGAGCTGTTTGACAGATTCTGTAGAACTGTTGATGTGGGGGGTTACACAGGCACCCACACATTTATGTATGCAGTGTGTGTTTGTGTCTCATTACAGTGGCTAATCCATAAAGGAGGATAAACGTTTACTGTAGCTACAGGTAATGGAAGTGTTTCTTTAGCTCAAGAAGGAGAGGTGGCATGCTTTTAGAGGTGAATATTGTAGGTTCAAGACCTGCTCAGGACCTAAATGGGGCAGGAGCAGAGACAGAGAGAGTACCATTGTAAATACTCTTCTTGAGGCAGCCATATGTGAATGACAACTATCACTCTATGTCGTAAGATTGTTGACGAAAGTTAATGAACACCTCTATTCTCCACAAACAGATAGAATCAGTTTGTCTGAATGTCCATCAAACATCATAAAAGACATCTTAGAATTTTTCTCTGTAAAAGCCTGTTTTTATATAGTTGCTTAGTGTAATTCAGTGGAACATATTAGCAGCTAAGAACACATTATTCTAGTGTAAACCACATATGAAAATCATATTTCATAGAAATTATTTGGGTGTCCTTGTAGAACATGCCTGAGGTTACCCAGCTTATGCTCTTGTTTTTAAACCATTTAGCATTAATTTATTTATAGGTTAAAAGATGCTTTTTAAGAAAATAAAAACTAATATTCAATCTCTTCAGAGATCTATAATGTAAAAGGATGATAGGACTATCTCTGAAGAACAAAAATTGGTGAGCCTGACTCCTTAGAATCACTATAATGCAGACAATTATAAAGATAGGTTAAAATGATTTGGATTTGTTCCTCAGTGGAAGAACTGACACTTTGAGGAAACATACTGGAAGTTTTCAAAATTATCTAAGGATTCATAAATTTATGATATACATTATTCCCTCTACAAAGCAGAAAAAAAGAAATAAGTTGCAGAACCAAAATATATTAAAACTTTGGAATGAACAGGCAACTAAACTAGAAGTGCTTTACACACAGGATAAAAAAATTGACTTTATGAAAAGGATAGTAGTTATCCAGTAAAATGAATGAAGGAATGAAGTACTTTATAAATAAGCTCAAGGGATAACAGGTCTCTAATTGTAGATGAATTAATTAGTGTACACCAGAACCCATATATGCAAACCTGATCTAAAACCCACTGAAGTCAATGTAAGTCTCTCTGCAAACTTCAGTGGAGCAGCACCACCTCCATAAAACAGAGTGGTCCTGTGGATAGACTGCTGGCCTGGGATTCTGGCTGAGACCTGAATTCTGTTCCTGTTCTATCACCACTCTGCTGTGTGACCTTGGATAAGTCACTTCACTTCTTAAGCCTTTGGTTCCCCTCTCACAGTCTAGCTTGTCTACTTAGATTGTAGGCTGTTTTCGGGCAGGGTCTGTCTGTTGCTATACGTTAGTATGGTATGTAGCACAATAGGGGCTAAATTTCAATTGGGGGCTGTCGGTATAATGCAATATAAATAATAAATAGCAACAGCAACAAC